AATACGTTTTTTGAGCTGTCTAGTTGTTCTCCCTATATAGCTGTCTCTGTGAGAGCAGCTAAATTGCTAGATAAAAAAAACTCAAAAGTGTGTCTAGAAATGCAAGTTGATTACGGCTTTCTTCTTCACATATTGAACTTACGTGACTCAATGAAGATTTTCAAGCTTACGTGATTTTGTACACAGTTCAGCCTATCCAGTGGACAAGTCACACCGTAATATAATAATTTGCTTTATTCTAAAACAGTACTTGTGATACAGAATGGAATTCTCAGCATTTTACTACAGTTATTGCATCCAGTTTGTACATTAACAATAAATAAAATTCTACATAGATTAAGGGTAACCTCGGCTAGTTTTGACAACAACATATTAGCATATCGTTAGCAAAGCCAAAATTCAACAGAATGATTGAAGGTGTTAGAAAAGTAGATACTAGCATATTTACGAGCGTAAGTGGTAACAAAAAGGTTCTGTCTGTCTGGATTCAACATAGAACTTGGCACCGAAGTGCAGCAGTTCGAGTTGCCACGTTCCGAATAGCACACAGAGGTAGACAAGAAGATGAGAGAAGAGAATCATTAGAGTTTGACAGGTATAAGAGTGAAACAGAATGGGTAATAGTAGAAAGGAATATGAAAGATTACAGAGACTGAATACATCAGCGCTGGCCATTGACAACGATTTTGAGCCATGTCACCTATTGTCTCCAGCCATTGATTCTTAGAGTCCCGAGGGCCCCAACCCGGGAGTCTGCATCTCCCTACCTGACTCAGTTTAACTGTCAAGGATTTCATAACAAAAAGGTTCAGATATACAGAGTATGAAAGAACCAAGAAGAATGTTTTAAGTAGAGTTTGCAATGAAGAGAGAAACAAAACAGCACACAGCAAAAAGAAAATGGAGATAGGGAGAAAAAGAAAAGAAAGGAAGAAGACGTTGTACCTATAAACGATATGAGTTGGAAAGACGAGATCCAGTTGTTCTACTGACTATTTAATAAGTTAAAGGTTTCACGCCTAATGCTTTCTTTATCGCACAGAACACGAGCTAAGTAGGCTATGGTTGAGGTTTGTACCTTAACATGCCATTCACTCTTCCATCTAGCTTAACGTCAAGGAAGTGAAACGAGGAATTCGACTCTTCTTCGATCGTGAAAGACAAAGATGGGTGAGAACCATTAAATATTCCAAGGAGTTCGGCAGTTGAAGAGTTTTCGTCACAGACAATGAAGGTATCATCTATTTATCTTTTGTACATAAACAAACTCTCGATGGTTTCCTTTAGTGGGCCGTTCTCTAAGCTTGCCATGAAGATATCCTCTAAAAGCGATCCTAAAGGAGACCCCATCTCTTTGAATGTAAATGACTTCATTAAATTTAAATTGCACATTCAGTGTGCATCTCAATAATAGTTGTTCAAGATATTCATTTGGTAAGCCAATGTTCATGCTATTCAAATCAATATACTCGCATAGATAGCAGATAGTGTCTACTAGTGGTATATTTGTGAACAATGAACAAACATCTAACGAAATCATATGCTTACCGGTCACATTAATTTCATCAACGCAACTGACACAGTCAAAAGTGTCGGAAAGACTATGTTTACATAGATTGAATCTAACTGATTCCAGAATTTCAGCAAGCCATTAACAGCGAATTCAACATATCCAATACAGGTCGCAGAGGGACATCATTTTTGTGCACCACATGTACACACACAAATAGTTGTATATAAATGCGATTGTAAAGCTACGTGAATGAATTCGCCGTGCGTCGGTGGCACAGTGGTTAGGACTCTCGCCGACCATGCACATGGTCCGGGGTTCGATCCCATGCCGACGCACACCTGATATCTATGGTCGGCCTGCAAAATTTGGGCTACCGATATCCATGCTGAAAATTCCATACTTGTACCAAAAATACAGTGTGGAATCAAGCTGTAAATAAAAAAAAAACAGTCTCTTTGCTGAACGTCTTCTCTTTTTCATATGACTCAATGGGGATTTTCAAGCTAATTAATTAGAAACTGCTAACCAAACCAGTAACTTTGTAAATTTTTTCTTGTCGACTGAAACATTCAGTAATCGGTGGTGGTTATACGGAATTACGTTAGATCGTTTGAGCTACTATATATCTCGGTTTGTTTAATCATTATTTCGAGACCACTGCACCTAGTGAACTCTTTAGACACAGATTTTTGTTTCCAGCATTTTGTCACATGTCAGATTTGATGCAACCTTTTTATATTCTCTAATTAGTATCATTTAGTCTGTAACTGAATCGTAGGTGGACATTTCAGTTACCCTAACCCTAACCATTCATAAACAATCCGTTTATTATTGATCTGAACAAAGAAAGAAGAAACATTGGCGCAGAAAAATCTGGATCCATTTTATTTCGTTGGTTCTTATCAGCTGCGTCTGTCTGTCTGTCTGGATTCAACATAGAACTTCGCACCGAAGTGCACCAGTTCGAGTTGCCACTTTCCAAATAGCACACACAGAGGTAGACAAGAAGATGAGTGAAGAGAATCAATGCAGTCTGACAAGTATAAGACATCAGCTGCGTACAACCTTTGTCCATTAGCAAGCATACTGTCAGAGCGTCATAGTAAAATAAGGCGTTGAGATTTACAGGGTGTCTAAAGTGTTATGACATACATATATATACATATCTTGGTAAAGAGAAGTTTCTTGAAAAAATTTATCAACAGTTGTGTTGTTGGGGTGGTAACAAAAGGAAATTAACAATAGTTACGTAGATATGAGAAGACCAAAATTTTAAAATTTCGGTGCACATTAGGTCAAATGAGAAGTTGGTGATGTAATACAGTCAGCAAAACTCAGAAGATCAAGAAAAATTATCTCTTAAGAGAGTCAAGAGAAAAATAAAGGGAGGGCGCGGAGTGAAAAGATTAGCTAAAAAATCAGAAAACGACGAGCTACTTAGAAGTGAATCATCAGGGTAATTGAAGTCTAACAACAGATTCTTTTTGGACACAAATGTTAGGCTTCAATCGTTTTATTGCTATAGCTACAGCAAACCTGAGAAGACTTGAGGTACTTTGTCTGTTAATTATTTTGAATGATTCCAGCATATCTACTCGGTGTCCTGTGTCAATCAGGTGTTTGGCGATTGAAGAGCTTAAACAATTCGGTCCCTTCAATCGGAAGATCCTTGGTACATGTGCGCAGAACCTGACGTAGGCCCTCCTCTCTGTTCTTCCAATGTACGTCAGGGCCTATGTACACATTTCTTACAAGCCAGAGACGGTGTAAACTGGCATATGCGAAACTAGCCCTCTGTATCCGTGCTGAGATTTCGTCAGAAATCAACCCGCTGTCACGGGCTGATGGTACTTCCCAAATAAGTGAAGAGGTCAACACTCTTCGCAAACCACCTCACTCCCTATTTCTAAACTAGGAGTCAGTGTAGTTCAGTCAGTCCTGTAACATCATCTTACATTTGACAGGAGCACGAGCGAATCGCATACCAAACACTCGAAGATTTCTGCTCTGCTCAAGGTGTTCAGAAGACTCTGCATTTTGTCAGCGTCCTCACCTTAAAGGACTATATCGTCTGCATATTCTAAGTCAACGAGATTATTCCCTGGTAACAAGTCAATCCCTAAGTCTCTGAAGTCCATTAGTACATCCATGACAAAACTGAATAGAAATGGGGATAGTGAGCATCCTTGACGGACACCACTGGTTGTCATCACTTCAGGTGACAACTCGCCGTAACCCCTCACCTGGCTGCATGAGTTCAAGTAGATTGAGTGCCTTGATCAATGCAATGTATTTTCTCGCCATTCCCTTTACAGCCAAGCATCACCAGAGTACCTCTCGGTCGACATAATCGAAATCCGCCTTAAGGTCAAGAAATATAATGATTGTTGGACGCCGGTAGGAATGTCTATGTTCTGGAATCTGTCGAAGGTTGAAGATATGATCAATACACCCTCTTCCTAGTCTAAAGCCTGCCTGGTAATACAGTTTAAAAGAAGAATTTAATTTGTTTCAAAATGATTTTTACCACCACAGATTGACACTGAATACAGATTTGTTGAACAATACCTTGAAACTTTTCAGCAATCCACACATCAATTAACTCATGGTCAACAAAATGTGAAGTCAATAATTCGTCACTCACGCGTATAACTGAGAACTAATGGTCTACTACACTCCTCTGCTTTTACATCAACTTCCCTTAAGAACTTGGTAACGTCTACTGAGAACTACTACTCAGAATTATTAGATGATGAAAAAGAGAAACTGGAAGTTCTCAAAAAAAAACATTTCTGGCGACCAAACAGTTACTCTCCTTCAACTATCGACATTACCGACATATTTCTTAGTCTTCACAAACAGTGTTCAAGTTAAGCAGCTAAAGAGATCCATCTGATGAATTGAATTTTGGCGATATGTGCGTCGGTGGCATAGCGGTTAGGACGCTCGCCGACCATGCACATGGTCCGGGGTTCGATCCCATGCCGACGCACAAATAATATCTATGGTCGGCCTGCGAATTTTGGGCTACCGATATCCACGCTGAAAATTCCATACATGTACCAAAAAATACAGTGTGGAATCAAGCTGTAATCAAAAATAAAAATAAAAACTTTACGAAATTATCAATCGAAAATGAAATTCAACAGATAGAGTAGAGTTGAAACTTAAAGTTCGTTGACCTGGGCTGGGGGATTGCATACTCTCCATGCCTGTCAACACTCCAGCCAACTGCTACCGACCATCTTTAACAAGACGAAAACTTAAGATGTTGTCTATTTTCTCACTCAGTTGTGACCACTTTTAACACATCCTTAATGGAGACATCCACCAACTGCAATTTAGAAAAATATAGTTTGATTTTTCCGTTTTATTATTATTTTATCTAGCCTGTCAACGAATTCAAAATTCAACGAGATAATGGTAAGCTTTATTACCACGTATTATTATATTTTTCTCAATAAGTAAAGCAGATCAACAATGGGCGTCATTTCGAGGGAGACAACGTCTGGTTGGGCTCAAAATAATCCGGGATTTGCGGTTCGCCTAATTCTGTCTTCTTTGTTAACTGAAAACAAAAATAAACAACAAATAAATAAATATGTAAATAATTAAAAGTGGTAAAATGTTTTGATGCAAAAAAGCCTACTGTAATTTACTACAAAAAAGTCCTCACAACGATTAGCATAGTGAAGCACAAAACAGCAGAAACTAGAAACCCGAGAATTATTTTATTCCTGAAACATTTTAATCATTAAACTTGAAATATTATTATCATCATTATTTCATTTAATTCCTACAGGAACATAGGGCTTCAGCCGCGCGTCTTTATTGCGTTCGGTTCTCTGCCAACGTTTTCACCTGACCCAGGTCTGCCCACATGCTTTCATCTCCTCCTCCATGTCACCCTTGCACTGACGACCAACTCGCCGCTTCCCTTTCGGGTTCCACTCGAGCAATAGCCTGGCATGTGATGTCACTCACTTCATGGTTTGTTTCTTCAGAGTATGGCCAATCTAATCCACATACATTTCTTCCTGCTTATTTGTTGTACAACTGGTGCTTGCTGTATTGGTTCGTTCCCAGAGATCCCACCCTGTTCCCGATCTTTTCTGGCTGGCCATCTGATCTTGAGTAGTATTGAACGAAGGCAGCTATTGATGAAGGTGTGTAGTTTGTTCGAAGTGATCTTCATGATGCGCAATGCAAGTCTGATCCGTATGTTAAGCAGAACTGACTTCACATTAGAGTTGAAAATCTGCATCTTATTTTTGATGCTGAGTGCTGTTGATCTGCACACAGACTTCAGAGAAATGAAATCTTGTTTTGTTTCCCTGATCCGCAGTTTGATGATATCCTCATCAGTTCCGTCCGCCTGTAGTTGAAACGATGCTTCCAAATTAGGTGGGTAGGTGAAGGAGGTTGTTTCTTTCAGGTTCCTCCCATTTATCCTGGTTGATTGTTGTCGGTTGTTGTTGTTGCTGCTGCTGTTGGTGTTGCTGTAGGCGAGGAGTCTTCATCACCTCTGTTTTCTCTATCTATGTTCACCTGAAGTCCTATCTTCTCTGGACGCTTCTTCTGCCAACCTGTTCCTTTTCACTTGCATATCTTCCAGTTTGTGGGAAATCAGACATATATCATCGGCGAAGTCCACATTCTCCAAGTTTTTCGTTAGGGTCCATTTTATGCCTGTCTCCTCATTGGTCGCTGTCTGTCGCATTATCCAATCTACTACAATCAGGAAAATCATTGGAGATAGTAGGCAGCCAGCTTTTCTTACTCTCGTCTTCACTTTGAAGGATTCCGTAAGTTTCCCGTTGTGGATTACTTGGCATGCAGCATTGTCGTACAACTGTTGGATGAGATGTATAATTGTCAGTGGCACCCCATAATAGCGAAGTACTTGCCAAATCACTTCTCGATCGACTCTGTTGAAGGCATTTTCAAAGTCGATGAAGTTGAAGTAGAGAGCTGACTGTCATTCCAAGCTCTCTTTAATAGTGATACGTAGTGTTGCGATTTGATCGATGCACGACTACTTCCTCCTGAATCTAGCTTGTTCTGGTCGAAGTTTTTCATCCAGGTTGGCTTGTTTGATTCTCTCCAGGATAATGCGACTTAGTATTTGGCTTGAGATGGACAGGAGCATAATCCCGCTCCAGTTCTCACATTGACTTAAGTCTCCTTTCTTTGGTAGTTTGAATAAGTATCTTTTCTTCCAATCCTGAGGTACTTTGCCCTCTTTCCACACCTTCTCCAGAAGTGGCATCATCAAGTCAGCTGTTGTCTCTGGGTCTATTTTCAAAGCTTCTGCCGGGATTCCATCTGGTCCTGCTGCTTTTCCAGCTTTTAGCATCTTGATTGCATTCGGGACTTCTGATTTCGTCGGGGGGTTGGTGTTCACTGGTAGATCTGCTTCCGTTGTTGGTATTGTTGAAATATACAATCTTTTTAAAGTACTTTTTAAGTCTCAATACATCAAACTGTATAATGACGACAACAACAACAAAAGACAACTTTAGACAGAATTTTCTGGAATTTTCAGTTATTTTCCATACGAGCGTATTAAATAAGTATTCTCTGAAAAAGGACACTACAACTATTAACTGACACTGAGAAAAGAAAGTCCAGAGTGTTAATGCACCACTTGATGCTTATTCGAAAGTAGTTTTCACTATGCTGGTTTGCGGAAATCAAGCCGTCAAAACTCAATGAGAGTCATCAGATCAGAGAAATACTACCCCACACGCAGCAATAGAGTAGAAGGTATTCAGCTCAACAATGCATATCTATTTTAACGTAACACAGAATTAGTAGTAAATCTTGATAAAGCGAAATTCACATTCAAACCATTAAAAGTTGTAATTTTCACCATACAGTTTTAAGGTTTACAAACACTGACGACAAGTTTACTGCCCTACTCACCGACATAGGTATGCAGAATACATGACGATCTGAAATGTAATCCATTAAATTCCTGTTAGATATTTTGAGAGTAGATAATTCCATAATAAATCTTATATGATACCAGGGAATAATCTCGTTGACTTAGAATATGCAGACGATATAGTCCTTTAAGGTGAGGACGCTGACAAAATGCAGAGTCTTCTGAACACCTTGAGCAGAGCAGAAATCTTCGAGTGTTTGGTATGCGATTCGCTCGTGCTCCTGTCAAATGTAAGATGATGTTACAGGACTGACTGAACTACACTGACTCCTAGTTTAGAAATAGGGAGTGAAGTGGTTTGCGAAGAGTGTTGACCTCTTCACTTATTTGGGAAGTACCATCAGCCCGTGACAGCGGGTTGATTTCTGACGAAATCTCAGCACGGATACAGAGGGCTAGTTTCGCATATGCCAGTATACGCCGTCTCTGGCGTAGACGTGATATCCAGCTGGCTATCGACCAAAGGGCGGGTGTACTGCTCAGCAGTCCGCTCCGTTCTCCTTTATGGTTGGCTGTGAGACCTGGCCATTGAGAGTGGAAGACACGAAACACCTGGCTAGCTGTCTTTGATCATAGGTGCCTGCGTTCTATCTCCCGTGTAAAGTGGTATAATAAGGTGACCGATATTGAGGTTAGGCGTCGGTCGAGTGCTAGGTAAGGAGGAGGGGAAATCAATCGACGAGGCTGAGAGAGATGGTTGGGACATGTGTTACGTATGTCTAGTCATCGCCTTCCTCGACGACATAGGATCGGTCAGGCTGGAAAAGAGCTAGCCAGTGGTGGTCAAACCAAAACATGGCCTCACCAGTCAATGAAATTCACAACAATTAGTTTAAGCCAGCCAGCCATGTAGGAAGGTGTAGATTTCTGGTCTCGTTGGGGTCCTCGGGACGGTAAAAACCAATGACGGCTGGAAACAATCGGCGATATGGCTCAAAGAGATTGTTCTCAATGGCTGGCGCAGATGCATCCACTTTTAGTGACTTATGATTTCCAGTGAAACTATACCGTTCTTCATTATAACTATTCCTTTGTCTCACAAACCTGTTTACTGTCTCTACTATGCATTTCTTCTACTTTATTTTCTTGCTTTGTGTGCTACATGGAGTGTGGCGACTTGAACCGGTGCACATCAGTGCAAAGTTCTATGTCGAAAACAGACAGACATACGCAATTAAGCCATTATTCGTAACTCCGTGAGTTGATGTTATATATATATATATATATATATATATATATATATATATATATATATATATATATATATATATAGGACACCTGTTTTGGTTTACACACTTAACAGTTTACAGTAAGAAAAATTTCTACAAAAATCCACCAACCTACTTTTTCTAATTTTTCTGGAATCGACTTTAATTCAATCATTTCATCATACAGGGTAGCACGCAGCTTTTTCAAGTCGGCCAAACCTTTACTCGCTTTTGGCTGTAACTCCTGGGAAAGACAATACAGATCTTCCACAAAAGATATGTTGACAGGGAGAAGATAAGCTTTAATGTCTTTTACCGGATCTCCAGAAGGTCGCCTGTAACACTTTAAATATAAAGTGAAGTAGTTTACCATGATTTATTCTTGCGTCTTTTTTTATTAACCATTTTCACTAAATCAGCGTTGCTATTTATGTCGTACTGAGAAAGAATCTCTGCACATTTCCCAGATGTACTCTTTTCAAATTCAGATATGAGGTCTTCAACAGTTTCGTTAAACCAAAGTCCATCCTTCTTCTTCAAACTGCTGCATTTATCCTCAATAATTTTTCTAAGAAAAAAATAAATAAAAAGATTTACAACTACTTACGTGAAGTATTCTCCCAACTTTTCAGTCACTTGTTGTAAAAGATTAGTAATTTTTTGCTCAGGCGTTTCAGATGTCATCAGGATATCCACCTAAAAAATTATTTTAGGAAGTTGGTGAGTTTAACTATAAGGCAGAATCACAGGTTACATTAAGCCATTACAACATAACATCCACTAATATTTCAATTTCAAAATAACGGCGAGGTAGTGAGGGAAAACATTTTGCATAACTATCATTCAGTATTCAGATAATCAGCAATATAGAAGTCATTGGAACGCATGATTTTAAGTAACTTGAGAAGAGTGAACAGACAAGGCGGAACATGGAGGAGTTCAAAATAAGAAATTCAAATATATTAGTCAAATGCAAAACGTTGCACTATCTTCGAGATGGATTTTCGAAGTTATCAAAACTTTTTAGCCATATCCTCAGGAAGTTAAATATAGTTGTAGGCTTGTAGGCAAAGCATAAATATGCTTTTTCAATGTTGCAAGTATTAAAACTAGATCAGTGTCTTCTTAAAATGCGTAAATGTATGGTGAATTGGCAAGCAAAAACCAAATCAAAGCATAACTGTAACTTACGATAAATAAACAATTATTACAACCTTTCAATCTTTCACAAAGAAATTAGTTCCTAAATCACTTTCCAGTCACAGTGCACAATTAGAGCGCACTTGTTTGAAGTCAGCTTTTAACACTTGAAATTAGAATGACAACCTCAGCTTTGCTGTTCACTACACCAAAAGCAACCACACAAGCAACGACACTTTTCCATCCAATCAACAACACACCTGATTGATTTGTAGGTGTGGGACTTAGCACAACGCTTTATCACTCCAAGTTGAGCAACATGGAGGTTAGGCGTAGAGTTCTAGGTAAACAGGGGAAATTAATCGACGAAGTCGTGAAGCTACAAAGACTGAGATGGTTAGGACATGTGTTACGTATGCCAAGCCATCGCCTCCCTCGACGAGCTATGTTAGCGGATATAGGGTCAGGCTGGAAAAAAGCTAGCGGCGGTCAAACAAAAACTTGGCCTCACCAGTCAATGAAATCCACAACAGTTGGTCCAAGCCAGCCACGTAGGAAGGTGTAGACTTCCAGGCTGGGGTCCTCGAGACGGTAAAAATCAATGGTTGGAAACAATTGGTGACATGGCTCAAAATCGTTCTCAGTGGCTAGTGCAGATGCATCCACTCCCCGTGACTTATGAACTCCAATGAAACTGTTTTGTTTTTCTTTATTACTCCTTTGTCTCACACCTCTGCTCACTGTTTCCATTATGCTTTTCTTGTACTTTCTTCTCTTGCTTCGCGTGCTACACGGAATGTGGCGACTTGAACTTCCGCACATTTGTGCAAAGTTCTATGTCGACAACAGACAGACAGACTCCAAGTTGTTACAATATGGAACAACACAGAAAAGTTGGTGGCTCACAACCACCAGAAAGGACGCGAATTTATAACTCCTCCTTCTTACCCTAGAATACAGCTGAAATTACTACTGAGAACATTCCTCCACCTAAATCGGAGCAAGTGATCGGAAGCATCTATGGTCAAAGACAGTCTCGTCATACCTCTTAACATCAACGATCATATCCGACAGTCGTTGAGAATGGCAGGGGTGCTGCACAGTACACAATCTTTGATCGGCAGCTAGATATCACGGATGCGCCAAAGATGACGCAAGATGACAGAGGTCAGACGAATCTGTTTTATTCAAGCTGAGATTTCATCAGCGATCAGTTCATTAAGACTGGTCAACACGACCAACTACTTGTCTTTCCACTCTTAAACTAGGAATTAGTTCAGATCAATCCTGAGACATCATCCTACATGGGACAGGGGTGAGTTGCGTGCCAAAAATACTAATTTCTTTGCTCTAAGAATTCAGAAGGCTAGAATTTGTTAGTGTCTGGACTTAAAGGGTTTATATCACCTCCATATTCTAGATTAACGAGCTCAAGCTGCTTTCGCTGACTTACACCACCTCTGGCGTAGGCGTGACATCCGGTTATCAACTAAGGGACGTGTGTACTGCTCATCAGTTCGCTCCGTCCTTCTCTATGGCTCTGAAACATGGCCAATACGAGTTGAAGACATGAAAAGGTAGACTGTTTTTGATTATAGATGTCTACGATCTGTTTCTCACGTTATGTGGTTTAATAAGGTAAGTAATGTTGACGTTAGGCGTAGTGTTGGGCAAACGGAAAATCAATCGACGAGGCTATCAAGTTACATAGACTGAGATGGCTAGGTCACGTGGTGCGCATGCCTAGCCATCGCCTCCCCCGACGGGGACTACTAGCTGATATAGGTGCAGGTTGGAAAAGAGCCAGTGTTGGCCAAACAAAAACATGGCATCAATCCATGAAATCCTTGACAGTTAAACTGAGTCAGGTAGGGAGATGCAGACTTCCCGGTTGGGGTCTTCGGGACTCTAAGAATCAATGGCTGGAGACAATAGGTGACATGGCTCAAAATCGTTGTCAATGGCCAGCGCTGATGTATTCAGTCTCTGTAATCTTTCATATTCCTTTCTACCATTACCCATTCTGTTTCACTCTTATACTTGTCAAACTCTAACGATTCTTGAATTGAATTTCGATTTTCCCGTCGATTGATTGGACCGAAGTGCTCGGTCTCAGGTTGACATGTCGGCTTCTTGTGCAGATGCTTCGACGATGTCTGGGGATTTGATTTGTATACAATTGGTGGATTCAATAATTAATATGACCCGTTGCACAAGGGGTGGCTCTCGTGGCCCAAGTGGTCTAGTGGATAACGCTTTGGCGTTTGAAACTATGGGCACTGGGTTCGAGCCTCGGTGGGAACATCATTACTCACTGAGAAATGCAGGTACATCCAGCTGACGAGTCCCAAATAGGACGAAATGCGCATCCTGGATTCCACTGCTAGCCACCATCCACCAATTGTATACTCTAATGATTCTCTTCACTCATCTTCTTGTCTACCTCTGTGTGCTATTTGGAACGTGGCAACTCGAACTGCTGCACTTCGGTGCGAAGTTCTATGTTGAATCCAGACAGACAGAGACAGATTAACGAGACTATTCACTGGTTGAAAGTCAGTCTCGAAGATATAGAAGTCAGTAAGGGTCATTCATTAGTACATCTATAATGAAATTAAATAGCTGTGATATTGAACTAAGCAGTTTCAGACATAAGCGTTTACGGACTAATGCATGGCAGGAGTTTAGAAAGGTGTCTGGAAAGAAGCAGTAACCTCCCACTAATCCTATCTATTGATAAATTATCGAAAAGTGGTCTCTTTTGTCTACCATTGACTTGATGTTGACAGCTGCTAAATACGACAATGCCTCTCCTTATGTTTGAAGTCAGTGCCTGCCAGCAGCACAGTTATCTGAGCACTGCCAGATCGTCACTACGGGAAAACACAAACGCCCCTAACATTCTTAATTTGGCTAGATTTCCGTTCCCAGAGCAGTATTGGCACCTGTTAGTATGAGTGCAGCAGCAAACTGGACAGCTTGCGATAAGACTCATTCATAACCTCATCAGAAGTGAAATCAGTTGGCACGTAGGAACAGATCTTCTCTAACATCACAGATGGTTGCCAACTGGGGTTGTTGAATCGGGAAGCAGGTTTTTCGCTCCTGAGCTCAAGGCTTTTTCTATACCTACAATTTAGCGAGAATTAGGTAAAGAATTGTATGATACCCATAAGGGGAACTTTGTATATGCACTGTGTTCGCCAGGTGGATTGAAATAATATACAACCGAATCCCAAGACGCCAAAGTTTCGACTTGACATAGTCTCCAAACGATAAGGAGTTGGTAGCGTCACTGACTCTATTACGTCCCACTATTTCACCTCATTTTATATTAGAGTACTTCGCTTCTCATTATTTAACTTAACAGAAGAAAATACAAGAAATCGCAATGCGATTTTTTTAAAGCAAGTGCCTGTATGGAAAAGACAAGCAGTTGTTGAGTAGCATTTCAGTTCAAGGAAGATATCTAGTCAGCTTTTGAAATGTTTTGAAACAAACTCACCTTTGGCAACTGCATATACATTTATAATTATTTTCCAAATTACGATTAGAAAATAAAATAATCCAGAGAAACTTTGTTGGTTATTTCTCATTCTTTAAACAAGGTCAACACTTCGAGAAATTAGCGCTGCAAAAGAGTGGTACTCTTTATCTACAACTGCTGTTTGAAAATTCTGTTGTAAGTTACGGACTACGCATATAATAACGCCTAATGTAAGTTCTAATTATTTAGTGACCAAGAAAGCTAGTATTATATAGTCAACAAAAAGTAGTCAAAGTATCTATATCTATAAACAACAGATATCAATCCGTGATCAACTCATAAAAACATAACTAAACCTTACAAACATAGAAAATTAATCTGATGCTCGCTAGTGACCTGCTACAGGTTGGAGTTTCCTGAGTTCTAGTGAGAAGTCGTGACCAGTGAGGTCCAATTAGATGTCACGTGTGTGGATGGATGTCCCACCAACGACAATGGTTGGGGTCGCGCTAAATCACGAATTGGTAGGAGTTAGAATTCATAAGCCATTGAATCGGGTCCCAGTGGCTGAATGGTATACGAGGTCCTGGGTTCGAATCCCAGTGGGTGCATACTGGCGATGATTCCCAAACTAGGATGAAACAGCAGCTGTCCAGGACTCCCTGGTTTTCAATGGTTCTCTAACTGATATCAATCCGTGATCAACTCGTAAAACATAACTAACACTTACAAACCAAATTATAGAAAAGAAACATTAATGCTTGTATGAGTGAGAGTCATGTAACTGACTACCTAACCATAAATTTGCCCTATTGTCGCTAATTTTGTTGTCACGGTTTCAATGTATTGAAAAGGCCGCACACGCTGAATATAAACGGACTCCGCTAACTCCAAGCATTTCACTGACCAGTTCTGTGATCACAAGCACCATGACTGGACTGAGACGGAAAAAATTAAGGCCCATAGTCTAATGGATTTGTAGAAGAAAATGTATGAAGTGTCCAACATCTGGTAAATATAACAGGATAAGATCCTTGAACAAACACCTGGCAGTCAACTATGAATAGTCATGCGAACTAAGCACTTCATTTGCCTTCGGATATCTACTATGATGAACTGCAAGAAAACGTCATCTGGAATTCGCTAAGCTGCGGCAAACATACGGTGAAAAACAAAACCATGAACAGAAATGCATAATCCAGATTTTAAATACCACACAAGAAACACATCAAAGTTAAAAGAAGGAGAGAAGTTATGTGAAAGAATATTAAGAGAAAGAAAAACCGAAAGCCAATGTTTACATATAACTGCCAAATTTCGACTTGCCTCGTTAACGATATAGTCGGACGATGTGCAAGGCGGTAATGGCGTGGTACCCTTCGGAACTGAAAAAAATCTTTATTTCACGTGATAACGTCTTAATGTGAAGCAAAATACAACTGATTTAAATCCAACGTAATCATTTAGCGACAGATGTCTGCAAGTTTAGGATGGGTTTTGCATTGCTGATCTGAAAAGTATTTTCCGAAGATTGATGTGAACTCGCTCTTGCATCCATCCTAGGAGGCAATTATTTAGAATTAACTGAGTCTGAGGGCCTAGGTAGTTGTACCAGTACTGGCGATATAATGGGTGAGATCTGAGGATTTAGTTTAGCATGTAACTATTATACAATTCATTCCATAATTAACTTACTATTTGTGTCGCTCTTATCGCTGTTTATAAATGCCAAGTTTGTCTAAAGAAAGAAAAATGCATTCACACATCTGACTGGGTTTAAGATATCACCTCGACCTCAGTATTCCTTAAAAGACACGGAGAAAAACTTCATTCTCAACAAAACAGACGACAAAATGCTGCTCTTATTTCAACCCACTTCACCCAGGTTCAGTAAAAATTCTTCGAATGGGGGATTTTTCTCCAGGCTTACCATAATGCTATATCAGTTCTGAACTCAACGTCCATCATGCAGTCTGATGATATTTTCTGCGTTCAAAAAAATTAGCGTGAGCTAAAGTAGTGTGGACAGTGCTCAAAACTTCCACTGGGCACTGAGCTAACATCGGGTGTGCAGAATTAATGCTAGTAAGTGCTGAACCAGGGGTAAAAACGCTCAAATGATGTTGAAAAATATACCAGTAAGCGCTTAACTAGCACGGATAAGGCGAAAAGTAGAAGTGTTATTTTGTCAAGTCATTTGAAGATTTAGTCACTATAGAAAACAGGTTTCAGTTCAGAGTTTGAGAGCTATACCTCAGCGTTAATGCATGCTTGGTGTAGAAGAAATCAACAGATGGATACAGATTGCTAAGTGACTCAGACTAATTCGTCTACATACGACTGTTCATTCCAGGTCGACTGGTTAGAAAACCACTATTGTCAATTACTCACGTTTGGTACCAAACGTACCTAGCATTAAAAAAGGTACTTAATCGGAGGTTGGGTTATATTCTGTTTGAAAGTACAATAAGAACGAGTGGGCTACTTCTTGAAAATAAAATGCTAAATTGGTGAAAAGGTAGATAATTTGTTCATTTGGGATATGAGAAAGGTGGGTATACCACTTAAGAGAAATATTGTCTGGACAAAATCAGTCCAATACGTTTCATTGGTTTAGATACAAGCAAAAAGGGAGACTTGTGTGCAATTTTACGAATGTCCTCAGACTTTTAAAACAAGAAAAAATACTAACATTAGAAACACATTAGACGATAGCTGATTTAAATCTGGCGCCAGAAAGTAACTACTGCGTAATCGTTGCCACAAAACAGAATTCAAATCCCCATTTAGGCCTCCTTTGCCTCACGATAGAAATTTAGTGCATCTGTCACTCTCATCAACAGCATTTTTACCAAATTTTCCACCCTATGCTGCTGTTTTAACTTTGTATACAGTGCATGATTACAGTTGTGGTGGACTTTTTACTCTGTTAGCTTAGTTACCCAAATTCAAATAGAAAATAAAATACCAAATCAGTTTAGTTACGGGAAGAATATATTAAAGTTTCGTTACTTGGGTGTCGGAGTCAGAACTATGTATTTATTCAAAACCCGAGGTAAAGTTCAAAGTACAGAGTTTATGGTTAAAACAAAGTAGTGTACAATATGTTCATTTCTTACATAGTAGTAAAAATTAGATAAGTTTATTTTTGAGGACTCCACACAGTTAGTAACATTTTTCATGTTTCTTTTTTTATTTTTTTTATTTTTATTTATTTACAGCTTGATTCCACACTGTTTTTTTGGTACAAGTATGGAATTTTCAGCATGGATATCGGTAGCCCAAATTTAGCAGGCCGGCCATAGATATCAAGTGTGCGTCGGTGCGTGCTCGAACCCCGAACCATGTGCATGGTCGGCGAGAGTCCTAACCACTGTGCCACCGACGCACATAGCTGCACGCCGCATAAAATTGGAGTATCTGTCTTTTTTTCTGTTGCATTTTCGTCAGGTTTTAACCTACATTAGAAAATTTTATTTCCCTAGGATTTCGTACCTTAGTTCATGAATACATTCTTAACTACCCTAAACGATTCAGCTCAGAAACTTAAAAAGCAAGAACGACAAATGCGATGTTCAAATATCTTTTCCCCATGGTTGTCATCACTTAAGTTGCTGTGTTCAGACTTGAGTACCCGATGAAATTGTATCGAAATGTATCTGGACAACCCATATATAACTTTAACTTTTGAGTACAACAGCTTTACAGGTAGTCGAATATCCTTTTTCGGAATAGGGTTCAAATGAGTACCGCTGCCACCAGAAACAGAAAGCGAGAGCGGCGAATTTTATTTATGTGAGGTGTCATTTTAACTTGTAATGTAACGCACTACCCAAAAAGTTTTTTCAAAACCCTAAACATTTTTCCAGCTTGATAAATTGATTACAGTGGCTTTCTCTTATTGTTGTCTCCAGTAGATGTCTGATTTCATATGACTTTCCCCTACACGGATCTCTACATTTTCCCTGATTGTTTTATTACATTATTGCTTGTACCTCGGTGGCACAGTGGTAAGGACTCTCGCCGACCATGCACATGGTCTAAGGTTCGATCCCTGCTGACGCTCACCTGGTATCTATGGTCGGCCTTCAAAGTTTGGGCTACCGATATCACATGCTGAAAATTCCATGCTTGTAACAAAAATACAGTGTGGAACCAAGCTGTAATCAAAAATAAAAGAAATAAATAAGTAGTTAGGAAAGTCCTGACGAAAGACGCGAACATTCTAATAAATACCAAGCCTCACGAAGCTTCGCAGTTCAGACGAGATACAACATACGAGCGCTGACCCCCATAACATGGAAATTCCTGTAGTTTTCTTACTGCAAGTTTGCTCTGCTTAAAACTTACAAGTTGGCACAATTAACCATGGTGTGCCGTCTCAATGATAAATGGTAAAAACTGCCTTATCAGTGCTACCATGACGCAAGTTTCCATTGGAGTTTCAGTGGGGGATGCCTGCAGTATCAGTGCAACACGGAAGCACATTCCCCTACGCCGGTGAAAGGTCTCTCTTCAAATGCACGAGAGAATAATGGTGATAGTGAGACACGAAAACGATCAAAATTGAAACAGTTCAAGGTAAAGGACACCAGAGTTCTCCAGTGAACTGTGACTAGTTACTACGAAGATTAATAGGACAGAATCGTTTGCCAAATTATACCTGTCTGTTTTATATATGGGTACGCAGCATCAACTTGCCAACACGGGAAAATCTTCAATCGGAACCACTGGACTTATTTGTTCTGCTAATTTGGGCTATGTGGATCATATAGATATCACCAAACGCTTTTTAGCCGTGAATCCCGCTGATGGATACCCTCTTAGTTAAGCGTAAGGCTGATTTGAGATGGTCGCTCAGATACCGAAACAGATATCTAAACTCCCATTTAATTCCAGTGATTATCATATTAGTGGAAATATGGTCAGCACTTGCTGTTCCTACGCATGGAGTCAATATAATTGACAAGATTCTGGTTAGGAGAAATATAGGTCATAAGGAGGTAGGTGGGGTTTTCAGATATCTGAGAGCCACTGAGGCGAGTATTGATAGGATATACAGCACTCACTGAAGCATCAGACTCACTTTGGTACCTACTCAATGCCGGTGGGAGAGTAAACATACTAGGTGGCACTTGCAGACCGCCATTATGAGCAGTAGAGTCAAACCAGTCACTAATTAGCACTCCTGTGATTGTAAGCAATCTGGGTTATATACAACTGTCTTCAGCGTGCCATTTCTCATCTTAGAAACAAAGAGTGGCAATGGCAATTTTGAATGAAATCTGTTATGCAACATTAAAAGAGTCAGACGGATTCGCAAAAAAGATGATGACAAAAGGTTGGGTCTTCGGGGGTAATCTACCAGAAGTGAACTATATTTTGAGTAGAGACCATTTTACGACACATTAAGTCCTAGAGAAAACTGCCCCAATTATCAGCTATCATGTGATCATGAAGACTGATCTAGTAATCGGTGGGTTCAAAAAGTAGGATGTTCTCATCTCAGTCTGCGCTACACCAAGACTGACAGCCCAAAGATGAGGTAGCCTCTATCTGAGGCTGCAATACCCACATACAAATATGTCATTGCCAGTTGACGGGATCCAGATAGATTGAATGAAACCACGCAGATAGTCAATTCATACAACATCCATCTAGTGATTATACACAAAATGAAACGAGTGCACTCTTATAAAGAGTTTCAGCATACGCGACGGTTGTCGAGGAGGCAATGAAGTGGTGAAAGACATACAAAATACAGAAGTGAAGAATTATTTGAGTAAATTTCGGGCAAATCCGGTCGATAAACTCCTGGCGTACCCCGGAAAGAGAGCCTATGCACCAAGGTTCCAACATTCCACATAGCCTTGGTAGATTGCATTTTATCTTTCGGAATTTGCTGAAGCATCCACCTCGGTCTTTGATAGAGCAATAAACAAGGCAATGCGGGAAATTAACATCTGGCTAAACGAATGCGCATCTCAAGGTTTTTTTAAAATTCATGAATAATTCTCATTCGAACATTATTAGACAAAAGACAGGAAGTTCAGCGAAGAGTCTCTTTCGGTGAATTCATTTTCATAGCTGTACAATTGCAAATATACATGGTTATTTTGTGTGTGTGTGTACATATATACATTAGATTTGTCAAACGAAAATACAGTTAGTAAGTTCAGATGAATTGGATGCTGATAAGAGGGTAGTAACAAAAGTGATGAGTTGTCATAAATATTTTGTTAAATAAAGATACCAATGCAAGGAACAAAGCTATGCTCTCTCGACACTGAATCACTATTTACTAACGTTCCACTCACAGAAACTGTCTCTTATATTTGTCATTATATCGACGAAAGTCAGCTGAACATCGGATTATCGATGACTTGTTTAAAAGAACTACTAATGAGATGTACACTCAATGTACAATTCACATTCAACGAGGTTATTTACAGACAACAAAATGGGATCGCAATGGGATCTCCACTGGGCCCGTTACTAGCAGACTGCTTCATGGCAAGCCTAGAGAACGGCCCACTCAAATCAACCATTGACAATTTCCAATTGTATGTTAGGTATGTGGAAAACGTCTTTATCATCTGTGATGACGGTCACGATCTCAATTAATTACTGCAAATATTCAACAAATGCCATCCAGCCACAAAGTTCAATCTAGAGATTGAAAATGAACCTAAAATCCCTTTTCTCGATGTTGAGCTTACAAGGAGAGCTGACGGAACTTTAAGAAGGTTCATCCATAGGAAAACCACATGGAACGGCCAATTGACAAGCTTCTACAGCTGGGTACCAATCAGTCGGAAAAGAAACCTAATTAAATCCCTTGCCACTGGCGTCAGACGCATCTGCAGCTCTGACACCATGGAAGAAGAACTAAACTTCCTGAGAGAGATCTTCATACAAAATGGCTACCCATCAAGATTCGTAGACAAAAACATCAAACAAAAAATCTAAAAGAAAGAGGCACCATTCGTGCCTAAAAAGATACTTTATATGAACCTGGACTTCAAAGGAGACCTACTTAGTGACGTCCTCAGAAGGAGAATTTCCACCTCTTTAGGAAGAACTTTCCCTTCGGCAACATTAAGAATGGTGTTCTCCAGTCGCCCGCTGATATGCAGAAGCCCAAAGGACAAGATTCCGCACATGACCACTTCTATGTGTATGTATCAGTTCACATATTGCTGTGGAGCCAGGTACATCGGTCGTTCAACGCGCATCCTGTCAAAAAGGGTAAAAGAACACTATCCAGCGTGGCTGCAGAAAGGAAGTAATGGACGTATAAGGAGTGCAACAATCGAACATCTTGTCAACACTGGTCATTCCATCTCAAAAAACGCCTCCTTCAAAGTAATCTACAAAGTGAAGAACAACCTTCCAAAGACAGTACGATTCCGTCTTCTTTGCATCGCAGAAGCCCTAGCAGTTCAGTTGGGGGAACCAGAACTATGCATACAAAAGAAAATTATCCAACCACTTCTACTCGCATGGTAACAACTCCGTTGATTTTGACCTAACTTTTGTTTGTTTGTTTGATTTGACCTTACTTCTGTCTGTACACTTATTTTTTAAGACCCTTGTGTAATTCTGGGTATTATTTTTTGTTTCTATGTACACCCTGAGCACAACTCTTTCATCAATCTATTCATGCCATTACGTAACTCTTATTTAACAATCGTTTATGACAACTCATCACTTTTTCCAAGAAAAAGTGTGGTGGAGGTGTTGCAACTTTTATTCACTCAAAATGGTCCATTTCAAACAAAGTTTGTTTCAAATTCTCGAATGACTTCATTGATTGCATCACTGTGAGATGTCGCCCGAAACACATTTCAAAATACAAATTCATTTATATTTCTAATGTTTATGTCTCTCCTGGCTGTACCATATTGGATTTATCTATGTTCGCCGATGAATTCACCGCTTTTGCTGCAGCTTGCTTCGAGAACTCTTTATCAATAGTAACTGGCGACTTCAATGGAGCGATTGCTCCTTCCTTATATCACTTGGTCATGACAATATTGTTAACTTTGCCACCCGTCTTGGTAAAAAACTGGATCTAGTATTTTTCAATGATGTTGGTATATATGAAGCTCGCAAACGTGCTCCTCTACTTAATTCTGACCACTGCATCATACGTGTACTGCCTAAAATATATTCCAAATCACACAAAGGTGTCCTCTCTCACCTCTACAGTAAAGTTCAACGGAGATGCTACTCAAAAGACAACCTAGACAAGCTCAGATGCATGTTGAAAGACACTAACTGGGACTTATTTACAGAACAAACATTAGATGAAACAATCACAAACACTACCGATTATCTTAAATTCTGTTTCGAAATATGTTGTCCTAAAGAAACATTATTCATTCGATTTGATCGCTTATCTTCGCCATATCTCAAAAAGCTACGTAGAAATAAAGAACTGTTGTTCAAAACTAATGATAAGCCTGGTGTAAAAAAGTTAAACATGCTGATAAAACTGGAAATAAAAAGACTAAGTGTTTTATATAATCAAAGATTTTTGTCATGTAAAACCCCTTCTAATTTATGGAAACTTTTCAAAGAAATTACTAACGGTAAGCGATGTATTTCTGTTCCATCTCTTAATGTTGACACTCTTAATAAATCTTTCATACGCTCTTCTGTTGATACCCTTCCAAATGATACAAATCATATTGACAATAACTTTAGTGGTTTTAATACCCTTGATGTGCTTAAATGTCTCCGGTCTCTTAAGCCTTCTCAAAGCCTTGGTCCTGACGGCATACCTGCCATTGTCCTCAGGAATTGTGCTGATATTTTGTGTTATCCTCTTACTAACATTTTTAATGCCTCTTTTTCCGGTAACGTTCTACCTTTTGCATGGAAAAACATTAAAATTATCCCTATACCAAAACCATCTTCTGGTTCTGATATTAAATTTCGGCCTATTGCAATTACTTCCCCCTTTTTAAAATTGATGGAAAAATTACTTTTACTTCGTCTTGAACCCGCTTTGAAACCTTTTAATGATCCTAAACAATTTGCATACAAACATGGTAGAAGTACCTTGGATGCTGCGGTTGTCTTATATCACAATGTTGTCTCTTGTTTAGACAAAGGTGCTAAATATGTTCGTAGTGCTTTCTTAGACTACACATCTGCTTTTGACTCTGTACCTAGGGGCCTTTTATTAAATAAGCTATCGTTGACACAAACAGGATCCTGGGCTAAGAGTTGGTTGCATTCCTATTTTTCTGATAGAATGCAGTATACTGTATATAACGGCAAATCTTCTTCTACCTCGCTTACAAAATCCGGTGTTCCACAAGGTGCTGTCCTCTCTCCTTTTCTTTTTTCTTTCTACATGACC